CCTCCCTCAGCCACCCGCCGCGCCCTTCTGCGCCTGCGCGCCCCGCTACGAGGCTCCCGCTCTTGTTCGAACGGGCGCGCTATCCGCCGCGCATGCGCGCTCCGCCGGAGCAGCGAGTTGGTGGCTAGACACACTAGCACTTCCTCTTCCGAGCGCACGTGGGGGTGCCGCGCTGCTGGTAGTCCTGGCCAGTTGGGTTAAGCAGGGGCAGAGGCGGGTCGGGCCTCGTAGCTCTGCCTGTGGAGTCAGGTCCGGGCCCGGCACGGGGAGCCCTAGGTTGCGCTACCCGCCTGTGCCAAGACTCACTCCATAGCGATGTATGGGGCAGGGTCCTATGCACCCCCGCAACTCGGGTTCAGCCGCAAGTGGCTAGGCTCAACGCGCACATCCCTGGGCGAAGGTGGTTCCCGTTCCTGCCCTCCTATGTGGGCGAGCTGCTTGGAGCAAGGGCTGCCTGCCCCGCTTGCTTCACCAGCGCAGTCAAAGTGCGTGACACCCCCGCCGGGGATCACATGCCAGCGGGCTCTGGGTCCTGCCCCGACCCGGAGGAGTTTTGTTTCCCTGCAGCCGGCTGTGCCTGTAGCACGGGTGTGACCTGGGTGTGTAGCGATTGCACGTCCTTGGAGCGTAATAAACAGGATCTCTTGGCTACTGGAGCAAATTGGTCCTGTGTCCGCGGAGCGCATCTCGTTCTTAAAAACTGGGTTTGGGTCAACAAGAAGCAAATCTGATTTCTGTAAACCATGGTTAGACTCTCACAGGCACAAATTCTAGTCACCACCGTCCACTGCCCGCGTCTACACGAGATGCTAGAAGCGCAGTAGACTAATTAGTGCTTCACGGCGAGAGCTGTGCTAGTGAGCAGTAGAATTGGCCTGCTGCGCACTAGCGTCACCTACAAGCGGGAGCTACTGCGCAGTGTTGTGTCAGAGTGAAAGCCACGCGACTGCAGTAGAATTAAGTCTGCTGCCAGTAGCGTCGATTGCAGCGCATTAAGTCAGTACTTGTCGCTTTTCCTAAACTCAAAGCTCTCTAATTACACCGGCACCCAGGAGTCACACAACCGCGCCCCAACCAGTCTGCGCACGCGCACAGACAATCCCTGCCAGCGACAAACATCAGACTGCCCTCTCTCCATTGGAGGACTTCGGCTTGCATCACTTGCGAGGCGCCGATTGGTGCCTTGCGGTGGGGGGGGGCGGGCTTGCGCTCCCGCGCTTTAATTGGTTGGGCCTGCCAGGAGAACGCTTCCTGCGGGTCTGTAACGCGGAGCCCCTGGCTGCGCTGCGATTGGCTCGCGGGCTGCGGCGACGCAGACGCTAAGCGCTGACGACGAGGGCGGGGATTGGCCGGCCAGCCCGGCCGGGTGGTGAAGTGTGCAGTTTGGATTGGCCGCCGATCTGCGCCGCGCTGGGCGCCCATTGGTCCGCGCCGCTCGCCGGGCTCAGCTTCATGTCCATGGCTACCGGCGAGTGAGTCCTGCGCCACGGTCCGGTCCCGCTATGTCCCGCCGCGCGCTCGGCCGCCTCTGTCTGCTGCTGCTCTGCCTGCTCGGGGAGGCCACCGCTGGGTGAGTACAAACAGCCGCAGCATCCGCTTGCCCCCCCCTCGTGCTCCTGCCTAATCGGTTGCTCTGTGCTCTGCTCTCTGCCCCGTGCCCCCTGCCCCATCACTTGCTCTTCGTTCTGCTCCCCGCCCCCACTACGCTATTGTGCCATGTAGGCTGCTTTGACCGATCGATTGCTCTGAGCTCTGCTCCCTGCCCTGTGCTCCTTGCCCGATCGATTGCTCTGTGCTCTGCTGCTTGCCCTGTTTTTGTCCATCCCTTGCTTTGTGCAGTCCCCCTCCCTTTGCCTGATCAGTTGCTCAGTGATCTGCTTCTCTGCCTGATCAGCTACTTTGCTGCCCTCCCTGTGCTCCCCTCCCAATCAGGTGCTCTGCTCTCTGCCCTGTGCTTCCTGTCCCATTTGTTGCTCTGCTCTCTGCTCCCTGCCCTGCATTCCCTGCTGGATTGGCTCCAATGTCCCTTGCCCTGTCTGCCCCCGGTCACTTCCCCTATCGGCCCCATCTGCTGTCCTACACACAGCTGCTGCCCGTGCCACTTGTGGCACCCTATAGGGCAGCTTGGCCATGCCTGGCCTACATATTCAGTGCCTGCGTCCAGGCATCTCCTTCCCCGTTCTGCTCGTGGTCTCTCAGTCCCCAGGGCTGGGTACCTTTGACACCTATCAATGCCTCAGGTTCATGCACTTTGGAGTATCGAGAGGGTGGTGGAGTGTGACATGAGTTGCTTTCCCTGCTGCCAGCCTTGCCTGGTGAAGTATGTGGGGATAAAGAAGGGAGAAGCGTGGGTGCTGAAGGGGGGGGACAGCATCCAGGCTGCAGCCTCCTGGATGCTGGTTGATGGGAGGCAAGGATGGTGCTTGTTAAGACCCTGGGTTGGGACTCAGCAAACTTCTGATCCTGGCTGTATCAGGGACGTCCAGTTTGACCATGAGTCAGTCCCCATCACTTCTCTCTACAGGGGGCCCCAGGATATCCCTAGCAGAGCACTGAAATGGGGCATGGGAGACCAGGGTCTTGATCTCAGTTCTGCCCTAGAATTCCCCTGTGTGTCCTTGAGCCATCTGCTGAGTCTGTTTGCATCTCAGTTCCCCCTTTTGTAAAGTGAAAATAACAGCACTGACTGTTTGGGGGGGACGGGATGCTTTGGTGCTTTTTGAGTAGCACACCAGGCTTACACCCAAGTTGGAGCTGCAGCTGAATGATTTCTTTGCCCTGTGTTTCTCAGGAGGGATTTCTATAAGATTCTGGGGGTGTCGCGCAGCGCATCAATAAAAGATATTAAAAAAGCTTATCGGAAACTAGCCCTGCAGCTTCATCCAGATCGCAACCCCGACGATCCACGCGCACAAGAGAAGTTCCAGGACCTGGGTGCAGCCTATGAGGTCAGTGAGTTAACCAGGTGTATGCTTGCAGCTCTAATACAGACCTCGCCCTTCCTGCATAGTTGGTGTCTTTGCTCATGTAGGAGTGCATGGAAAAGGTCCTTTATATCCAGCGGTGCCCTTCCAGTGTGCATCAGTCAAATATTTTAATGCTGATTATAATTCCCTGATGATAAGTTGCAGCAGCAGCAGAAGGGACATGTCAGTTAAGTTTGTCTACCATAGCTGGGAGAGGAAGATTGCAAAAAGCCTCATCTTTGCTAATGAAAAAAATGGGATTTTTTATTTCCCCCATCCATGTAAGGTTTCTAGCAGTGGTCACAAGCCAAATGCTAGACCCCAAGTCTTATTTCCAGAGCTGGGTGATTGTGGAAGAGAAGGTAAGGAGGAAAAGCAGCCACACATAACTCTTTCATTGACTGAGTTTGCTGACCCTTGGAGAGGGTTCTGGATACCTTGTTGTTTGCCAGGCATCCTGCCAGCAATTAGTTTTCTGCAACCAGAAAATATAGATCACGGATCGATCTGCCTCTGCAGACTGCTGCTTTCTATCTGGCCAGAGCCACAGGCCACAGATCTCTGCTCCCTGGAGCACCTAAGCCCACCTGTGTTTCTCTGCCTCCAGGAGCAATGGAGAAAGGCACAGTCTACAGCAAGGGTAAGGACAGGTGCAAGAGAGTGGCAGGGAAGACTGCAGCAGACGTGTGGTATGACATAGCTCTGTGCCTCCAGTCCCCTGTGCTGTCCCACCTTGGATCTGGCTACAGGCTGTAGGTCAACAACCCCTGATAGAGGCGATTGCTGTGGCTGTTGCAAATGTCTGAGGACATTAGGGTTGAGTAGTTGTCCAGTCAGAAAATACTCGGTCAGTTGACCAGCAAAATGTCAAATAATGGACAAGTATTTTAAGCATTTATTTCTTGGAAAAGTAGAGATGCTTTAGTCTTCAATAGGTTAGAAATTTGTGCTAATTCCAAAAAACCAAGTTGGTGAACTAATTTTGTGGAATAATGAAATTAAATCCTAAAAACCGGTGATGAATGATAACAGCTAACGTTGTTAGATAAGCATACATTTGAGACTGAACACTTCTTTTTCTTCTCCCTGGCTTTTATTCCCAACCCCAGAATCAGTCCAAACCTTTACAAATTAGGGGGAAAAAGAATTAAACAGAAATAAAAACCACATAGCAATTCTATACTGTTGGTTCCTCCCTCAGCACAGAGTAGCTCCAGTGGCTCTATGTTACTTAACACAGGAAGGAGGAGAAGACTGGACAAATTCGCGTCGGGGCAGGGCATGGAGCACTTCGCTGAAATGGTGTATTCATATGCGTGAATCCTAATTTTGGCAGGGCGGGAGGGTACGGAGACCTCACTCCTGCCCTTGCTAATAGGTGACACTGTGATGTTTTTTTTAAAAAAAAAAAGGGGGGGGGGGTGGCATTCTTGGCATCATGCAATATTTGATAATATTTACCTGCAGGCAAATTATTTTATTTGATTGGTCTATTGCCTGACTTACCTAAGGAAACCTAAAGCTGCATTTTTTTTTTTTTTTTTTGGCTTAGGATTCTGAAATTTAATGTTAAAGTGAATTGTCACTTAATAAACTAGCTGCTTCCTCTCGGCTCCCCCTCCCCACCAACCTTTGTGTCATCTGCAAACTGTACCACAAAGTTCTTCATTTGCTGACTAGATTCATAGATGCTAGGATCGGAAGGAATCTCAACAGATCATTGAGTCTGTCCCGCTGCCTAGGCAGGAAAGAGCGCTGGGGGCAGAGAAAAGAGTGCTGGGGTCAGATGACCCCAGCCAGATGCCTATCCAGCCTTCTCTTGAAGACACCCCAAGGTAGGGGAGAGCACCATCTCTCTTGAAAGCCCATTCCAAATTTTGGCCACCCTTACCATGAAGAAGTTTTTCCAATGTCCAGCCTAAATCTGCTCTCTGTCAGTTTGTGGCCATTGTTCCTCATCACCCCAAGAGGTGCCCTGGTGAACAGAGCATCTCTGATCCCTTGCTACGTCCCCCTAATTAATTTGTAGGTGGCCACAAGATCACCTCTCAGCCTTCTCTTACAGAGGCTGAAGAGGTCCAGGTCCCTCAGTTTTTCCTCATAGGGCTTGTACTGTAAGCCCCTAACCATACGAGTGGCCCTCCTCCAGACCCTCTCAAGTCTATCAACATCCTTGAAGTATGGTGCCCAAAACTGGATGCCCTACTCCAGCTGCCGTCTGATGAATGCCGCATAGAGGGGAAAGTATCAACTCTGTTCATCATGCATCTGCTGATGCATGATAAACTGCGGTTAGCTTTGCTGATTTCGTCACACTGACAACTCATGTTCATCTTGGAGTCCTATATGACTCTGAGATCCCTTTCTGCTTCTGTATTGCTGAGAGGGTCACTTCCCAGCCAGTAGATGTGCTGGATATTTTTGCACCCTAGGTGAGCACACTGCACTTGTCTTTGTTAAACTGCATCCTGTTGTGTACTGCCCACTCTTCTAATCCGTCCAGGTCTGCCTGCAATCGTTCCCTACCCTCCAGAGTATGCACTTCACCCCACAATTTAGTACTCTGTCCAAATTTGCAGACGATACGCTTCACACCCACATCCAAGTCATCAATGAAGATATTGAAGAATACAGGTCCAAGGACCGAACCCTGCAGGACGCCACTACCCACATCCTTCCAGGTCGATACCAACCCATCTACTACCACTGTCTGGGTGCGACTGCTAAGCCAATTTGCCACCCACTGAACCGTGTAAACATCTGTGTCACAGCCTCGTAATTTATTTATGAGAATAGGATGAGATACCGTATCGAAGGCCTTGCTAAAGTCCAAGAAAGACTATAGAGCAGGCAAGTAAGAAAAGCTTTGTTAGTGATGAATGGAGATTGGAAAGACTCCATATGAAGTGGGAACTCTCCATTAATAGACTGATTTTTAGACCTACCAACCAGAAGGCAAAGTATTCAGCTTTTTGCCCCTGAGGTGGGATATGTGCAGGTTTTGTAAAGAGTCCTTTCTGATCGCATGATTAAGAACCTATAACATGTCTTCCCTTCCACTCTGTTAAAATGCAGAATTCTGAGGAAGATTTGCCATAACAAGGTTCAGAAAATATTGATAGCTTCAGGCTGGCTTCACCAGTTATGGTGCTCTGCCCCAAGTTATCTGATACTCATGTCTCCCCTTCCACTTCCATAGTTGCTTGCCTCATCTGTTGTAGCCAAGGCTTAGTGCTCTCTCAAAACCAATTATCTCTGCATAAATCATCATGGAGCCCAGCTGGGTGAGTTCTAGGGAAGATTCTGCCTGCAGGCTGCACTAGGTATTTTGAATATTCATGCACAAATTACTGAGATAAGGTGTGAACTGACTGCATCTTGACTAATCTACTATAACTGCATACATGTTCTTATCCTACATCAATGCCAGTTAGTTTGTCCCACTTTTTTGAGGGGTAAGCTACATCCTATTTACAGGATAAGCATGTGCATGTGACCAGTTATTGCAGAGTAGCTGACATGCAGCAAGTTTACACCCTAGCTTAGCTGGCAGTAATTTATGTGCCCACACTCTGATTCAAAGCAGAAAATTCTCCACCCCACAGACAGACTTTGCTAAGTGGAAAAGTTGCTTTATAATCAACTCAGAATTGTGTTCAGGTGGTTGGTTCCTCTCTCACTTGTGCTGGACTACTTTATACTAAAGCACTGGTCTTTCAGTTACTTCCACAAGGGTTCTCCTAGTTACTATTTCAGTAGGTCACTTTTGTGTGGTCATTTCCGCCCCCCCCCCCCCCCCCCCTCCCCTCTTTTTGTTGAGTGATATTCCCCCCCCCCCCCCCCCCTTTTCTCATTTCCTGGGTTAAGGTGTTACTTGGGTAAGAGAATCCATTTTATTTACCTTTTTTGCATACAGTGTGCCCCCAAAGTAAAACACTGCTCGTTTTTGGAAGGCAGAAATATTGTGGAAAAAATATTGTTTTTTCAGTTGTGGAATTGGCAGCACACTCCAGCCACAGCAACAGAGGAAGCATCCCTGGGGTTTTTACAGCTGCTTTTTTCTATCTACAATACTCCCTTTGCAGCATTTGCTGATCACCAAAAAGGTGCGGGGTGGTGTCCTGCAATGGAGACTGGGTTGCAAGCTGCAGCCTGTGGTGGCAAAGTGAAGAATGTCATTGTCCTTTCCTTTCCTGCGTCACATTTAGAAGATGACACACAAAGCACTATAAGTGATGTCGGCAGAGAGAAATATTTGTGTGAACACTTAAAACTTAATTCCTGACTGGTATTCAGCAGTACAATGAAAATGCTTTGAAGAGACACTGTTAAAATTAAATCTAGCTAATTTAAGAAGCTATCATCATTGCCATACATAACAGGGACTTCTTTGCTTATTTATGATTTTACATCAAGTTTTGCTTCTTTAAAAAATTTCTAACTATAGTTATCATATTAAAGAGCCACACAAATTAGAATAGCTTTTTTTCTCCTGTATGAAATGCCATCAGATGCAAATAGATCCCATCCTATAATGATATATGCCATGTGAATAGTTCCTTAATTTTAAGGTTAGCCATATTCACTAGTCTTTCAGGATTTAGGATTTTAAGTTGTAAAGTTTGTAGATAAATATTTTTGAGACAGAAAATGGAATAAAATTCAGTTACTACTTTTTGTGGAAAAAAAATCACAGAAATGCCCTTTGTGCTTCAGTGAATAATTTAATGATTTTTCTTAAATTAATTTGTATCAAAACAAGATCCAGTCTCTGAGACCAAGCCTAGAGGAGTACTGTATTAGCAGACCAGGACAGAATACTTTTGACTTGCTCCATTCACTTCTCCTTCTACACAGAGCTGTATACCAGTAGAGTGTTTTTAAAGTTATGCTAGAAGTGAAAGCAGTAGATGTACAGTGACTACAACTGCAGATTTTAGTTGTATAGTATTAGCACCTTTGCGGAAAGTGCAGGTGCAATCCATTTCTGTTCTTCAGGTCTTACCATCCATTTCAGAATTCTTGCCCATACGTTATGCGCTGTATTTTTCTCAGATACAATATTCATCCTTCCCCCTAAAAGTGGGGTGCATGTTTAAGTAAGGAAGCTACTTTCTTCTCTGGAAAAGAAGGAAGCCTGGAGACACTGTGCATGCCATGCAGCTGAGAGACTTGTGTCTGCTCAACAAAGTGAAGCAACAGAGTTAGCTGTTGGTAGTATCTTGATGAGGCTTGTGATGAAAAACCAGCACTTTATTTACAGGAGCTCAAGTAAAGAACTACTTTCAGTAAAGATATAACTGTATTGCTTGCAAAAAGGTCTGAGGCATAACCATGCGTGATATAGAGTTAAGTCCTTCTGGGAACAGTGTGTCCAGTAAGTGCAGCATTGCGAGAGAGTCTGCTACACCAAGAAGTTCCTGATGCCACACTTCCTGGACATCCAGTGTTCCCAGGAGGACTTACTCTGCTGTGGGCCAGATCTGGTCTCTTCACAGGCCAGATCCAGTCTGCAGGCCATAAGTTGCATACCTCTGGTGTACAGGGCTTACATTCCTCACTTTGTTCAGCCACTGGACATCATAAGTGCTTTCCACCAAGCAGGATGCTCTTCATTAGCCATGCTAGCATGTACAGTGCAACTTGCCTTGCATAAGTATAGTCCAAAGACCATCTGAAAATCTCTTGTTTCCATTTAACACGTGTGTGGCAGGACTTGCAATTTTCTAGGACAAAATTTATCATATTCCAGTTCTGCAACTGCTGATGCACAATCCCCAGCTTCAAGGACCAGTCACTGATGCAGAACTCTGTGTTGTGCCGTTCCAACTTCCTGGCGCGCACAGCCTGGAATCACAATCCTGGCTTCCATGTCTACTGGCAAATTGAAAACCGTGTGTGGTACAGCCCAGTATAGGGCTGTATGACACTTGCTTTACAGGTTCTAGGCAAAGGAAGTTGATGGACTTCCCTTGCCTAGCACCTGTAAACCCATGTGCCAGGCAGCCCCATGCTGGCTTTAAGTTAGCTGGGCAGACGGAGTCTATTGGTGCCAAGCAATATGTTCAGTTTAAAGTGACATGCAAACCAACCACAAAGATATTCCACATAAATGACCTGGAAGATGGGATAGAGTGCACCCTCATAAACGATGGAATGGAGTGCATCCTCATCAGTGACCTGGAAGATTGGATGGAGTGAATCCTTAGCAAGTTTGCAGATTACATCAACCTGTGGGGAATAGCAAATATGCTGGAGAGTATGCTAGGATTCAGAGAAATCTTAACAAAATGGAGCATTGGACCAAAAGAAATCTCATGCATTTCAATAAGGAGAAGTGTAAAGTCCTTCGCTTAGGACAAAACAATCCCATGCACTGCTACAGGCTGGGGACCAACTGGCTAAGCAGGAGCTCTGCAGAAAAGGACCTGGGGGTTACAGTAGATAATAAGCTGAATGAGCCAACAGTGTGTCCTTGTTGTCAAGAAGGCTAATGACATACTGGGCTGCATTGGTAGCATTGCCAGAAGATTGAGGGAAGTGATTATTCCAACTGGTAAAGCTATATCTGCAGTACTGCCCAATTTTGGGCCCCCCACTGCAGAAAGGATGTGGACAAATTGGAGAGAGTTCAGTGGAAGGCAACAAAAGTGGTTTGGGGCCTGGGGCACATGACTTGTGAGGAGAGGCCAAGGGAACTAGGCTTATTTAATCTGGGAAAGTGAAAACTGAGAGGGGGATGGACTTAATAGGCCTTCAACTCCCTGCGGGGTGGTTCGAAAGAGGATGGAGCTGCACTGTTCTCAGTGGTGGTAGATGACAACAAGAAGCAGTGGGCTCAAGTTGCAGCAAGGGAAGTTTAATTTAGATATTAGGAAAAGCATTCTCCCAAAGGGGGTGGTAAAGCACTGAAGCAGGTTACCCAGGGAGCCTGTGGACTCTCCATCCTTGGAGGTTTTAAGACCTAGCTAGATGACTAGATCATTCCAGCCAAGGCTTTGAGGCTGGTCTTGCTTTGTACAGAGAGTTAGACTAGATCAAGATCACCTCCTGAGGTCCCTTCCAATCCTAATCTTCTTTGATTCTGTGATTATGTGTGGAACATCTTCGTGAGTTCTTTGCCATTTTGTTGCATAATTTGGTTGAACATATGGCATATACATTACCCTTTATGACGCAATTAACACGTGAATTGAGTGATAAACGTAATGTCTGCCAGGGCCTGTGTTCTTGTTCTTCTTAAATCATTTTTCAGCCTGCAATAAATATGCACTTTACCCTGTAATTTGGTTCTTGCCATTTTAATGAGCTGATTATAAAATGGAGGTTTATAGCTCTTATTAAAGGTGAGTCAGAAGGCTTGTTTAACTGGGGAGTCCTGCCCATAATTAAAGCTGCCTTTGTCTACTGCTGCTTGTTTGTCACTCAGAAAAAATGTCAAATTTCATCTTAGTTGAGACACCTGAGTAACCCAATTCAGTTTTGAGCTAACACATATTGTCCCTTTTTGCTTACCCCTTGCAGGTACTGTCAGATGAGGAAAAGAGAAAGCAGTATGACACATATGGTGAAGAAGGATTGAAAGACGGGCACCAGAGCTCCCATGGAGATATCTTCTCACAGTAAGGATTTTTTTTAGCCCTTCTAACTGCTCTGGAGGCAGGGAAGACCTATCTTAGGACACCAGTACTAATTCATGCACTTCATTAGAGCCAGATGCTGTGTCCTGAGTCACTGCCACCTTTTTCCTGGTCAACAGATAGATGAATCGGCATTGACCTATGGTAACAGATGGGTAGTTGAAGAAGTATTACCATGAGAGACATCCCAGCTGTCATGTTCATGTCAATATGCCATCTCTTCTTCCACAGAGTAGTGAACAAGCCTCTGTTCCCTCTCCGTCATAAACCAGCATTGCTTATTTGACAGATGGATTTGGTAGCATGGGTGATGTAGAATGGAACTGCATTGAAAATGCAGACACTTCCTTGAATTACCTGGGGTATATGTGGGGTTTTTTGCACTTGCACAGATCATGCTTTTTAAGGGAAATTGTACTGCATTTGTCGCCATGTTTTCAGAGTAATTGCAGCACTTAAGCCATTATATTCTGACTTCACTAACACTTCAGACAGCAGCCCATGCTTCAGTATACCTGTATATCAGAACTGTCCACCTTTGAAGCAGCTAGGGGCTGAATGTCCCACGAGCTGCACTAACGGGCTGTATGTCTGAAGGCTGCACCAGGGTGAGCTACAGGCTTTCTGGGCTGTGTGTGGTATGGATGTCTCCCAACCCTGTCCCATCTCCTCTGCTGCACTGTGTGCCTGTGCCCTGCCTCACCACTGCACCGTGCCCATCCCCACCAAGGTCTGAGGATGAGAGCAGCCCATATTGACTAGTTTGCTTGCAGAGCATGTTTTGAAAGCATTTAGCGCGTGTTTGACAGAATAGCAGCCAAGAATGAAGGTTTGATTGTTAGCATTCAGTAAGCTATGCAGTACATCTCGCACAGTGACAACAGAAGTCTGCAAGCAAGCCTATTGCTATATTAGCCTTTGTTGTGTCATAGCAAGTAGAGTCTTTGCTTCTAATGTTGCATGTTAAATTAAAGTTGCATGTTAACTTAAATTTCATCCTAACTGCAATGTCCATTACTCTGTAGCTTTTTTGGGGACTTTGGCTTCATGTTCGGAGGAAATCCTCGTCAACAAGACAGGAACATTCCACGAGGAAGTGACATCATTGTGGACCTGGAAGTTACACTGGAAGAAGTATATTCAGGAAACTTTGTGGAAGTAAGTAACTTTGTGGGAGTCTCCCTGCGAAACTGTTGGTATTATTGATGGCTGCTGGCCTGGCCATTGGTGGGAATGGTGCATTTGTATTTTAAAAAATAAAAGCATGAATTACTTGCTACCAGAATATCTGATAAGGGATGAGGCATACAAATAATACATGTTTGGAGATGATACTGAGATTTGCTAATGCTTGAATAAGTGTATTGCTTGTTGGCTTATTCCCAGCCCCTGAATGTTTGACCACAAAGAGATGCTTTTGATTTCATTAAAAATATATCTAGAAGGAAAATTTTAACACTTGGAATTACTGAAACATTGTGTTCTGGTGTCATCCTTGCAGAAAAAAGTAAACTAATCAGCTCCCTGGGGGCACTTAGAGCCTAGTCACGTATCTGTGATGGATTTCTGTCCTGTCTCGATTCTCCTCCACATAAAACCAAGTGTTTGCTTCTAAAATACTGGATTAGGGTGACCACCTTTTCAAAAGGGGAAGGCAGGATTCATGCCCACCTTACCCTGCCAGCATGGCCGGACCAGAGCCAAGTGAAGCAGGGGTAGATGCGGGCTACCCACTGCAGGCTCCAGGTTCCCTGTCCTACTGCCTTTCTCTTAGGAGCTCCATGCACTGCCTGAGTGCACAACTACACCACCAGGGCCCCCAGGGGTAGGGCAGCAGGGCAGGGAGCCACAATGGTCAGCCCACATTCACCCCACACACATCTGGAGGGGCATGTGCCCCCTGTGGCTCCATCCTGCTCCCAGCCCCATGCCCTTGCCGCACTCCCTTCCTCACCTTGGGGGGCCT